TCCCGGCCGCGGCAGCGTCTCTGCTCCGCGGGATCCGCGGGGTGAGCTCGGGCAGGGGCCGGGCGCTCTTCCCGGGGCGGGAGCTGCGGAAGGGCCGCAGGTCAGGGGCCTTCCCTTCCTTTCTTCCATTCATTCATTCAGTTGTTGATTTGTTCATTCAGTGGGCCCGGGCAACCGGCGTTCGAAGTGTCAGGCGCCGGCGAGATGGGGGAATCTCCCGAGCCAGATGGAGGTCAGGGCGAGGGCCACAGACACTTAAAGAGCTATAATACAGCGGGTATGGAAAAGCAATGTTGATCTAGCGAGCTGAAGACCTAGGGGTCTTAACCCAGAGTCACGGCGTGGCTGCCAGAAACTGTGGCCGGGTCTGGGCTTTGGGGTCGTCTGCCTTGTTGACCTTGACTCTGCCCATACCCCACACGCCCGGAGTAGAAGCCCAGCAGAGGGCACTCACCACGCGCTCTCCTAGTTTTCTCTAGCCCTTTCTGATTCATCCTTTCTTCACCTCATCCATTTCGCTTTCTTTCCTCTCACATTCTTCCTTCTCAGCTGGACTTGGACCTGCCTCCCCCTAGCAGTTCTACTGGTGTCGGCGTGGACTGGAGGCATCTGGGGATTTTGTCAGTAGATTGCCGGTTTAAAGGCCGCTGATTTGCTAAGAAGGAAAGGATTCTCCTGAGGAATCTGCAGTGCTAACTACTCTCAGTCCTTAGTGATTATATTTCTGCCTGCCACCTGGTCACCCTCCGCCTTTGCCCCCAAGGCGCTATCCTCAGAAGAGGCTCCACCCCACCCCACCCTCCAGTCTTATCCAGGTCCACAACATCAATTCTCTCCTTCCACACAGCACTCAGACTATCTAAGTCCAGAGCTTTCTCCTGACCTGAATTTCAACTGCCTGCCAGACTTCTTTGTGGATGCCCAGTATGCATGTCCTGAATTGTGTGGTTCTTCCCCTGCTCACTCATTCATCCATTCATCCATCCATCTATCCATCCATGCATCCATGCATCCATGCATCCATCACCCCAGTCCCCCTGAGGGCCTGCCCTGGGCTCAGCTCTGGAAGGCTGCAGTTACAGGGCAAATTCAGTCTCGGCCTTTGAGACCACATGGTGAAAGAGACAGTGCTCAGGCCATTTTAAAGAGGGTGCTCCAAGGTTCTATAACACAGGACTCTGCTCTGGGTGGTCAGAAAAGGCTTGACAGAAGGGTGAAGGGGAGGTAATTTCAGTACCAGCACTTGATGAACAGCGCTGGTGTTCACCCACCTGCCATCCTCCAGTCAGGGACCAACCTGGTACTACTCCCTTTGTAATGCCTCTTATCCGGGCATCTTTCCTGACTAGCTTCAAGAGGACTGTCTAACCAAGTCCAAAATCTTCAGCCTGACATTCAAGGCCTGCCATGCTCTGTTCTCAGTCGCCCTTTTCAACATCAACCCAGCCAAGAGGCTGCTGACCTGGTTTTATGCCCCTTCACCCCTATAGGTTGAGACATGTTCCCCTTAGAAGCGCTGACTCCCTGTGGTAGCCATCAGGGGCTGGGAGAGAGTGGTTGCCAGTGTAAATAATCTAAAAATATTCCTTCTTCAGGTCGTTTAATCGAATTCTGCTTCTCCCCAGTGGGAATTAGTACATGTTGCAAAGGGTAGCTGGCTTATTGAGCAGTAGGTCACAAGGTCATATCCCACTGGAGAGATTGGAATGTTAGTCAGGCCTAAACGATGGTGACATTTGGCCCACCAATGTGTGGTCAGTAGCACACTGGCCCAGCAGAGCACATCTGAGGCAGGCTGCCCAGTTTCTCCCAGCTCTGCATTTTACTAACAGCCAGCTTCGGGCATATTACTTAGTGTCTGAGCTTCCTCCCTATGAAATTGCCATCATGATAATATCTCTCTCACGGCATTATCATGGCAAGTTAAACATCTATTGAATTAGATTTGGGACTTTGTCTCGAGTGAAAGTGAGTTATTTACAGTCCCTCCACCACCACCCCAAGAAAGTTTTTTCTATATCCTGGGGAACTTAATTAGACATGTGACACCATGCAGCCCCTCTGACTTAGCCCTTGGCTATGCTGGCCCTGCCTTGCAGAATGGCAGGTGGGGCCTGCACAGTGGCCCAGCAGGCCTGAGGGCAGCTTCATCTTGCTCAGCCGTGACTCCTCTGTTCTGTGGCAGCTTCCTCTTCTCCACTGTGTCCAGCGGATGTTTGCTTCACAGACTGAGGGGGAGCTCAAAGTGACCCAAATTCTCAAAGAAAACTTTCCTCAAGCTACAGCTATCAAAGTCACTGACATTTCAGGTAAGATTTTTCTCTCTTCCTTCCTACAGAGTCTGGTAGGATTTTGCCCTCGAGTGCCAGAGGGCAGGGGGCTTGGCAGAGGGAACTTGCCATCACGGCTTCTCAATATGTGTGGCTTTGGGGCAGATGTGGAAGTGGGGATACAGAAACATCAAGGGAAACTGTGTGGGGACGAGGTCTCTCTCAGTCACCCTGGGCTCTGGTCTGCAGCCTTCAGTGTGACTACAAGATAGGCTTTCCAAAAATTTCCCTACTTTCTTCTGATATCTTCGAATGTCAGAGCTGGAATGGGCCCCAGGAGGAGTTTATCCTTTTGAGGAAAGTAACTGCTTCACTTTCTCCACGAGGACCTGAGCCCAGGGAGGCCGAAGAATCTGCCCAGTCCCTCACAGGAAAGGCAGCAGAACCAGGACCCAGGGCAGACTTTGGCCTGAGGCCAGTTTTCTGCCCCAGCTGAGCCCTGCTTTTTCAGATGGCCACTGGCACCGCAGAAGCTCAGACTGGCTTTGTGTTAGGAGCAGGCTAGGCAATCACCTTCTGCACCCACAGGATGGAGAAGATAGGGCCTTTATCCCAACACACCCAGGGAGTGGCTTGGCTGTGGGCATCCACCTGACTCCCCACACCCGGACACCGTCTTTGCCACTCTACATTGTCACGATGGCTCACTGGCTTCTCTGAGGACATACCATTTACAAGGATTGGGTGAAGGTTTAGAAAGGAGTTTTTATTCTGGAAAGTAGAGGAAATTAATCAATCTAAAGATCCTTTGGAACAGTAGGTGGGATGAAAACTCTGCAGGGTCTCAGGACAATGCTAAGGCCTTGATGTCCCCAGTCCTATACCTGCCCCAGGTCCAGGTAGGGCAGAGATGGAACTTGACCTCTTGTCTGACTCTGCCCACCCCTGGACTGAGTGCAGAAAGGGAACTGAGCCCTGGATCCTTGGTTTAATCAAAAGTTAGACTCCTAGAGCTCATAAGAGAAACATAATAAAACACTTCCCATACAATGGCCTGGTGTTAACAGCTCAGGGACATTTTCTTGCCCACGTTGTTTTGTGCTACAGCAGCATGTTTTCTCATCAGTCGTCACTAGCTCTCCTGCCCTGTGGAGGCAAAGCTTGGTCAGTGGGTAGATGAGTCCACCACAAGCTCTGCCTTGAGAGCTTCACCAGGAAGCTGTTCCCTCCCTGTAGAAGCCCAAGATGGAACACTCAGTGTCACTTATAGAGCAAGAGGTGCTGGAGAGAACCTGTCTACAGTTTTTATTGTAATGCCATGTCCCTGTCTCTCTTGCACTTCCTTGTTTCTTTCTTTTCTTTTGGATAGTATTACACAGTTTTCAAGCCAAATATTAGTGTATTTTTGCACTTAAAAAAAAAAGATTGCCGGTATTTTTTGAAGGTGGAACAGTGAAATTCAGCCCCTCCCACCCTCTTCCATGGCATTGAAAGGAAATACTATGAAAACCTATATTTCCCAGGTTTTCCATGCTTTGTGTCTTATCTTTCCTACCCACAAGTAATAATTCTGGGTGGAGCCACTGCCTTGTGAAAGGAGGAGCACATTTTGGATCAAGGCAGCCTGCCAAGAGGAGTATGTGGTCAGATTATAAGCCATGATCTTTTTCTAACAGTCTTAGCAATTTTCTGCTGAGTAATCATATTCAGACCTTCTTGAGATTGTGTGGCACTTCAAGGATGTATGAGAGCCTGGCTGCCATAACTTAATAATTGAAACGCTTTCAAGTCACATTTATTTCAGGAGGCTGTGGGGCGATGTATGAAATCCAAATTGAGTCAGAAGAATTTAAGGAGAAGAGGACTGTCCAGCAGCACCAGATGGTAAATCAGGTCAGTAGAGGCAGCAGTGCTCCTTGGCTACCAGTCTCCAGCATCTGAAAGGGCCTGCCGGGTGGGGGTGATAATTTCTTGGCAATCCTAGGAAAGAAGAATGTAATACCACAGTCACGTGGACAGGACTTAAGACCTGAGAAAAATATAATCCGAAACTATCTGGAATCCGATTGCAGGCAAATAGGAATTTTATTCAAAATTGAGAACGAGCCACCCAAAAGTTATATTGCATTTTTTTATAAAATGTTGCCAAAGTTTACTATCATTGTCACATATCGAATAGTATTTGTAAATGTAGGAATACTAAAGGATATACGTTTTCGTAGATGTGAAGATTTTTTAGCCTCTCTTTAGGACTACTTTACAGATGGGTAAATTGAGGCACGGCAGGGTCGAGAATTACTCCCACTGCCCCAGACTTAGTGGCAGACAATAGGGGTCTGAAACATTAGAGTTAACCAGACAAGGCCAAGTTTATTCATTATCTATGCTTATTTTACTTGGAATTAATACCAGCCTTGACCCCTGGGCCTGTGTATATAAACTCGCCCCCCTCAGCAGGTGTGTTTGACATCATTCTAGAAGGTCTTACACATTGTGACCTAATTTAATTTTTTTAAGCACAGCTTTGGTCATGAGAGTCTCTCTGTGACCTCATTCATCGAGTTCAGGTGTGTCAGGTCACTATTCCAGGCCTTCCCCACCCATCTCAGCACCTTCCCTCTCTCGGCCCCTGTGTATTGGTCTGTGTGCACCTGGACCTTTGTCCAGATCTGACTGCCTGCAGGGTTCCCTTCCTCCCTCCTCTGCCCAGCTCAGATTCTGCCTCCCTACCTGCCTGGTGGGGATGAATGCCCTCCACCCTCTGACTCCAGTGTTTTCTGCCTTGTGTCCTAGATACTTATGTCCCTACCTTGTGTCCCTTGGCCCTGTCAGCCCTGTGTGGGCTGGTTCGCTTCTGGATCCAGCTTCGGATCCTCCTGAAACCCAGCCCTTCACTTGCATGTGGGCACTTACGGCCCAAAGGTGTGTCAGAGGTCTGCCCGGGTAGCCTGAGGTACAACAGCTTCTAGTCCCACATGATCTCAGGGATTGGAGTCAAGGTCGAAGACAAAACAGGAAAGACATGACTGGCCCAGATCATCCCCAAATGATGGGACTTTGGGTTTTGTTCCCAAAACTATTCAGGCCACCTTGTGCAACTAGACTCCCAGGGGTGCTGTTAATTTGAGTGTATGCCCTGCCCCGAAGCCACAGTTAGAAGCGGTTAAGGATGCAGGTTCAGGAGTCAGACTGTGCACATTTCAAATGTAGGCTCTGCTACTTTCTAGCTGTGTGACCTTGATCAAGTTATTCAACCTCCCTGTGCTTCAGTTTCCTAATCTGTAACTCAGTTTCCTTTGAGTAACAGTAGTTGACTCAAAGGGCTATTTTGAAGATTAGTGATTAAGTATACAAAGAGCACTAAGAGGCGTGCTTGACATAGTTAGCCTTTAATAAATGTCATCTGTCACCACCGTCATTGTCATTGTCATCTACAGCACTGGGTGGAGGGATGACAACAATTCCTTAGGTTTGGGGCAATGTTCAGGATTTCCTCTGGGCCCCTATAGAATGTGGGCTTCCCCCAGCTCTATCCTAGCTGGAGAATGCAGCTCAGTGTGTGTCGTTGCTCTAGAAAGCTGACTCTGTGCATGCTGGGCCTGGGTCTAGGTCTGTATTGTTAGTGAACCACAACTAACAAAGGATCTGGCACATGAAGGTGCTCAATCAATATTTGTTGAGTTTGCAGCCAGTAAAGAGAGGTAGCCTCAGTTTGGTTATTGGCTTACAGAGAAATTAACACATTCAGTACCTGAAAGGTGTTCTGTTTCAGAGAATTCCCCTCCTAGTATTGATGTGTTTTTAACCTGGGATACCATAGTGGCCCCTTTGCCCACCTGAGCACTGCTGGTCATAGAGCAGGTCATGCGGTCCCTTGGCCAGGCACCCACAGCTGCTGGAGCGGGGTTGGCAGGGGAAGAAGTGTGTTCTGAGCCTGACCTTCAGCTTGAGCAGAGGCCCTCGTCAGCTACAGCAAGCTGTTAGGGCTCTAATGCATGTGTCTCAATGTACTGATGTGCTCATGGGCATTTTCAGAGGATTCCATCTGTGGATGTTGGCTGTGGGAGGAGCGAAATGAAACGTCTTTAAGAGCAAGTCTGTTGACCTCTAGGCACCTGAGCTGGGACCTGGAATTAGTGGCCCATCTTTTAGAGGTGCTGAGAATCAGGATCTGACAGGCACTCCACATAGGAGGAGGCCAATTAGAGGTAGAGTGGAGGAGAAAGCAGACTGGGTTCTGTTCCCCAGGTGCCAAGTAAGTGGATTCTTAGGGAGCGGGTGAGAGTGGGGAGGTGCTCCATCCAGATGCTCTGGATACCCAGGCTGTCAGGTGCGGGGCGTGGTGGTCGTGGGCCAGGGTGAAGCTTTCCTCATTGATCTTGCCTAGTTCACCCTAGTAAAATTGAAACTCTCAGGCCCAAAAGGCCCAGAAAAGGCTACCTGGCTTATCTAAAGCTGGAATCTGCTTCTCTTCATATACTCTCCACTTGATTCCTTGGGGACCGGATGCCTCTGTCACCATGACCTCCACCCTCAGGAGCAAACTCACTGTTCCTTGGGTACCCTGCCAACTGGTGGCCCAGCCTCTCCCAGCTCCCATGGTTTATCAGCCTTCTCTTCTGAAACAATCACTGGCATTTGCTTTGGGCCAGACCTCAGGGATGCCAGGATGACGAGTGTTCCTTCCCCATCCATCCTATTCCCGGCCTGGGGAGCAGCCATTGAGAGGAGAGTGAGCACCAACTTCCCTTTTGTGTTGAACAGAGCAAGGTCCTTCTTGGCTCAGCTTCATAGTGGGATCTGAGCCTCAGTTTCCTCTTTGGCAAGGATCACATGAGGTATTGACCACGTGCCCAGCCTGCTGGCATGTGGAAGGGTAAACAGCAGTTGCCCTCTCTCCTCTTCCCTGCCTGGTATTCATCACCCTCCCCTAAGTGTGCCTCTGCCTGTGTCTCCCCAGCTCAGAGCCCTTCACTGTGCAACCTGGTTGCCCACAGAGTCCAGTCCCACCTCCCAGCCTGGGATTTCTGATCCCCTGTGTGGTCTGCTTTGGTCTTCCCGCCACGTCCCCGATCGAGGCCAGGCTTTTCCCTGTGAATCGTGGTGCATCCCCAGCCTTCCTTCTCCTTGCGCTCCTGGGCCCGATGCCCTGTCCTTCTCTGCCCATTCCACTCCCAGCTGTCCAGCTCCAGGGCTGCCTCCTCCACGAATGGTCAGTGCAGTAGCGGGCACTCCTTCCTAGGACACACAAGGTAGTCTAGAGCTGACTTGGGGGCTGGCAGCACCCATCAGTGTGCCGAGTCCATTTCTTGTAAACTAGTGTTACTTCCCTTATCTTTCTCATAATTTCTCCATGCCTTTTACATCTGTGCCCCTAGCACCCAGCATAATGCCGCGGACATAGCAGGTGCTGAAAATGTTTACCCAGACTATATCCTATAAACTGGGGGACTTTGGCTAAGTCACTTCCCCACTAGGGCCTCAGTTTCCTTAACTGTAAACCGACTCCGGTGATCTTTAAGGCCCTCTGTAGCTGTCAGATACTGTGACCTGTGTTGGGGAGCACTCAGAAGGCTGCAAGAGAGCAGAGAGAAGGCACCGCTCAAGGCATGAGTGGTCAGCACCTTTTGTCTGAAGGTGTGACTGCACCCTTGCCTAGCTAGCCATGAAGGCTTTAGGGATTGTGGCCTTGGCACAGATATAGGGACAGCCTCTAGGGAACGTTTTGTGCCTGCAGAAAGCAGAGAGCATGTGGCCTAGGGGGCTGTGTCTCCTTCCCCCTGAGATGACGTGAGGCTCTTTCAGGGGCACTTCTGCTTGTCTGCAGAGTTGAGGGGGCTTGTATGTGAACATGGAGGTGGTGGGACAATTCACCAGCTCCTAACTCAACAGCAGGTCCCAGCATCAGGGCTGGACAGGAACCCCAGGGAAACGGGTGGCCAAGACATCAAGATACCAGGTTCAAGTTCTGTCTGCTACTCATCTGCTGATTTTGCACATGGGATAAATACTCTTTATTTTATTTTTTATTAAAGAAAGGGATAGGACTAGATTATCTCTAGGGCTCCTGCCTTGATAAACCTGACCACATGTTTTAGAATTCTTTTTGCTATATGTGACAGGGAGCAAGTTAAAACTAGCATAAACAAACAAAGGTAATGAGTGGCCCATGTCATGAAATTATCTGGCTTCTGACATATCTAGGTGCAGGGTCTTATGTTCATCTGCTTACTCTCGTTCATATCCTCTCTCTCTGAACTTTCAGCTTCTGCGTGTTGGCCTTACTTTCTCCTACTAGAGATGGGCTTTCTCTTCTTGGTGGGGAACATGGCCCCAGCTGCTTCCAACTAACATTATTCCAATATAGTGACCCAGGAGAAAAGGCACTATACCAAAAAAATCCCAGGGAGATTCTGATTGGCCCAGTTTGGGTCATGTGTCACATCTGAACCAATCAGGCTGGGCCAGGGGCACACAGCTACATCAATACTAGACCAGTTGGTAGGCCCACTAGCAGTACACAAAGTGGTAAGGAATTGTTCCTCAGGAGAAGGAAGATTGCTGGACAGACTGGAAAAAAAATGTGCACCCCGCTGTGATGATCAGATTTGGACCTAATATAAAGGACTTTGACTTTTCCTCTGTACTGATTATAAATTCCAGTGGTCCACACCTCCCTCAGGTCTTGTAGCTTCTCTCCTGGCACTGTAGAGAAATAATAAATATCTATTTGATTGTGGTGGCTTGTTCAGATTTGTGCCCTGATACCATCTATAACCTTAAACAAGTCTCATAATTAATTTATAACTCTATTTCTCGATCAAAAGTAAAAAGGGAATATTTGTGCTAATTGGCATGGTTTTAAAGAACAGCCATTCATTGTCCAAAATAGCAAAACACAAGAAACAGCCTAAAAGTTCATCATTAGGGGACTGGCTGAAAAGTTATGATAGCTCCATATAACAGAACATATGCTGATGCAAACACGAAGGAGGGTGCTCTTCACGCCTGATATGGAAAGATCTCTGCTGGTTAGCAGGAAAAGCAGCATAGATACTGTGTTTGAAGTGCTACCATTTTTGTTTTAAAAAGGTAATGTGGGGTGGAATATATATTCATATTAGCTTGAATGCATTTTTAAACCTTTGCAAAAACACACAAGAAATTAACAAAAGTTCTCTATCTGAGAATGGAGGTGGGAACTGGGGGACGGAGGACAGGTGTGGGAGGGAGACTTCACTATATGCCTTTTTATACCTTTTTGATTTTTGAGCCTGGTTAGATTCTGACTCAAAAAAATTGTTTTCCAAAAAAGGAAAAACTGCTTAAAGGAAGTGTGTGCAAAAATCTCCTACAGACATGGAGCTATGTAAAAATACGCTCAGAGTGACTGTAATCAATGTCAAATGCAAAGGAAATGATGATACTCTTTTACCTATTTAGGCACTAAAAGAAGAAATCAAAGGAATGCATGGATTGCGGATATTTACCTCGATCCCCAAACACTGACCACGCCCTGGCTGTGTAGATGCTGCTGCTTAAAACCTTGGATGAACTTGACCATTCTTTCCTAGGCATTTGCCAAAAAATTTATCTATTTTGTTCATAGACATTTCCGTATTATAATTATAGAAGAATATGTTATCTATTTAGACGTTAATTAAAGGCAACGGACAACTGAGGCTTTTGAAGTCATTAGTAATGCTTCTAGCTCCTTTATTTCAGAAGCAATGTCCTTTTGTCCAAAGTGGTTTCATCTTTATACAGTTCTGTTCTGCTGCTGTAGAGGCAGAATGGAGTGCCAGCTAATTTTGTCTTGCCAAGAGACTTTCTTGTCCTCTGTGAAACTGCTCAGGTCCCTTAATCTTACCAAAAAGAAAAAGAAAAGATCCTTTGGTTTTGCTGTTCTCATAGTTTACCACTCTCTTTTCCTTCCCCTCCAAACTTCTTACGAGAATGATCTTGGACCCTCATATCCTTACTCCCTGGAGTGGACTCTGAGGATTTGGGGCTCCCTGGATCAGGATCTTTTTCCTTTGTTTGAAGAACCCTCACCTTTTGCATTTTGGTGGGAAGTGGAGCCCACCTCCCACAAGAGAAGCTGAAAGGCTTGCTTTCCTAGTTCCTTTGCAAATTAGGCACAGGCAGATGCTCTAGACTCAGCCATTCAGATAGATCTGCCCTGGACTTTGAATTAGGAACAAGTGACGCTAAGAAGGAGGGGCAGTGGTGCATTGATTCTGGCAGCCCTGCCAGCAGTGTCCAGTGTTCTGGGTGGTGGGAGCAGCAGAGTCGGTGTTGTAGGCTGCTGTCTCAAATCATGGTGGTGGGCACAGTGTGATTTGCTCTGGCCACAGAGCTTTCCAGTTCCTGCCTATTTTCAGAAGTTGGTAGGCCAGTAAAAGTTGTTTCCAGAAGTTCTGTGATTGCCTCATATCCTTTCCCTGAATTCTTTTCTCACATCAGCCTGGTCAGTGTCCTTTGCTTGCATCCGAGAGCCCTGATGGCTTCACTAGCAGTGTTACTCCTGCCCTCCCACCACATTCACTGCTGTTCTCAGTGCTCAGCACCTCAGTCACTGTGGCGATGGCAGGCTGGTCATCCACTCCTTTCTCAAATTTCTCTATCTTTTATGGAACCGACCACCAGGGAAATCGGTGTTCACTGTCAGTTCCGAAGGTCCCTCCCATGCCTCCCCAAGAAATAAGAATATGTAGGTAAAACAACCTTGGGCTCTAGAATTTTGGAGCAGTACAAATTTTAAATATTCTGTTCATATACTGCATACCCATTTTTTTGTTTATTTTAAAAATAGTCTGTATCTCCACAGTAGGCAGAAGAGATTGGTGTCCTGCCAGGGCTGAACTGCCTTTTACTTGGAATAGAGTCACTCATCTGTATCAGAGCTGAGAAGACGCCCCGGAGCACAGCTCTTAGATGGTGTAGTGAGGAGTCGCATAAGACAAGCCCCAGAGCCCAGAATAAGGTACTGGTCAGTAACAACAGAGAGACCAGAGAATTAGGTGCATTGTGATTACTTGTGTGGAGCCTAATTATCCTCTCTTGAGGGTGGGCTGGACTCAGTGATCTTCTAAAGAACAGAAAAAATGTGCAGCTTCAGAAATGAGGTCATAAAAGACATTGTGGCTTCCTCGTTGCTCTCTCTTTTAGATCGCTCGCTCAAGCAGCCTGTGGAGAGATCCATATAAGGAACTGAGGCCTCTTACCAACAGCCAGAAGGGAACTGAGGCTTCTGCCAAGACAAGAGCCGTGTAGGTTGGCTATCTTGGGAATGGATCCTTCCAAGTCTCAGTCACAGTCAAGCCTTCAGAAAACTGTAGTCCCAGCTGACATCTTGACAGCAACCTAAGCCAGAACCTCCCAGCTAAGCCACTCCCCAATTCCCGACCAACAGAAACCGTGAGATAATGTTTGTTGTTTGAAGCCACTAAGTTGTGAGGTAGATTTTTATGCAGTGATAGATAACTGATATACTTGTGCATTACTGGGAGGACTCTGGGACATTTCATATATTGAAGTAAGATTCAAAGAGCCAGACTTCAGAAAGGACAGGGGTACAGCTAAATGTCAGGAACACCAGTGTCACCAGGTCTCTGCATCTCCTGCCTGCTTCTCTCTGAAGATCAACATTATTATCCCTTACTCTGGATTAGCTTCCACCATATAGCAGTGATTATAATGCCAGTAGCTCTTAATTTTCATATTTTAATGTCCATGCCACAAGAAGAGCAGTTCAAAGCTCCTCTTGAATTAGGAACCACCCTGGATGAAACAGCTGGAGTCAAGGAGTCCACGTGCACTGTAGCCTTTCTGGATTCTGGTTTGGGTTGGAGGGAGGAGGGACAGTTGTCAAAAGAAGTAGGAGTTCTCCAAAGAAGAGGCTGGAACAAAGCAACAGGTGTTCTCAACTAGAGGCAAAGGTGACCGTGGCCTGGCAGGTCTCCTAGGAGTCCAGGACTCTTCCCTCTGCTTCACCCCACCCCACCCCAGGAGACCAGGCTCAATGAAATGTGTCACTTCTACCACTTCTGCATGTCTGTGCCCAAATCTGGCAATAAGATCTTTAAAAAGCAGCTCCCCCACCCCCAACACACACACAATAGTTCTCCCCCCACCCCCAAATTAAAAGGAAAGTTGGAAGAGGAATCACAAGGTTTCATTTTAGTTGATTAAAAGAGAAGAAATTGTTAGAGGCCAGAGTATATAATATTGCATCGGATACAGCCAACTCCTAGCTTTTTGATGAAGTGCTACTTGTGGAAACTGCTGAATTGTGATGAAAGATGATAGGTTTTCTGAGTTCAGTGTCTGTCCTTTTAAAAACAGTGTATGGTTTTCCAGTGGAAAATTCAGAGTCCTGAGGTAGGTGCTCGCTGACTAGGCGAGTTAATCTATGGGGAACTGCCCTGTCCACAGCCCTCCCCCAGGCCCGTTTTGTTCCATGGGTTTCTGCAGGGTTCCTCTGACCTCTGACTAGAGCACCCACTAGCAGTCATGGAGCAGGCTGGCCTGCAACGTGGGAGGGGACCTGGGGCTGCAAAGCCCCACCCAGACACTCGCAATGGCAAGGATTCAATAGATCCAATTCCCTTTCTTGGGAATCTGAACCGGAAAGGATGGGTAAATGACCCAGGGACAGCCAGGCACAGACTACTAATGGCTGGTGGAAAGCTCAAGGCAAACAAATCTGGGTATTCAAATCGAGAAATATGGAGAGAATTGATAGGTGAGGAGAAGTGAAAGTTGAAAAAGACCACGTGGGAGATGTCATGAGGGGTATTGGCAAGCCCGAGTTGAGAGGACGTGGACACTATATAAAGAAGGTAGAGTGATTCTCAATCTGGCTGTAAATGAGAACTACCTAGGATTTTTAAAATACCCCTTCCAAGTCTAAGAGGTGGGCTAATGACGGGCGCCAGAGAGTGGGCATACAGGGACCGGGTAGTCAAGTTAAAGTCACAGTCGATGTGAACCACCGGGACTCCTTAGAGCCGCATGTGTTAGGCTCTCCTACCCCGTCCCTCCACCCTGCCTCCAAATCCTGTGAGGCCTGCCCGACTCACCCCCTTGTCCCACCAGGGAGCTGCTGCGCACGCGTCTGTTTGCCAGTTCACCACCCACCACCCGTCTGGAGGAGCTGCCCCAACGCCCCTAATCCCATAGGGTAAAAGGCGGAAGAGGGCCAGTGCTACCTGAAGCCGGCGCAGGTCCCTGACCTCACCTGGGCAGGATCCGGCCTGCGGGATCCGAGGGTAAAGGAGCCAAGCCGACACCCGCCGCGATCGTCTACCCAGGAGCACCTGGAAGCAGAGCGAGTCTGGGTTCCCGCACCTCCATGCTCTTCCTCGTGGAGACGACTAAGAAACTTCGGCAAAAAAATCCCAACCCCCTGGCTTGAATCAGCAGAGCTGGCTTTCTTAGGTGCATCCTAAAGATGCCACGCCATACCGCGCCCATCTCTCTCCTGGAACCCGCTGGAGGGTGTCTCAACTCCTGGCCGAAGGAGCCCAACTTTTGGCGCCTTTTATATTTGTATTTGCTCTACTAATGCTGGTAGGATTAGGTCTGTCGTTAGGTACCTCATTTCAAAATATTGATCTCATAGATTGTAAGATCCTCTGACACTGTGAATCTAAAAGAATATTTATGCACTTTAATTTTTTTGAGAAAGCTGTGTTTATGGAGAGGCAGATAAAAGAGTACAACTAAAAGATGCTAGATGTATTCTTTAAAAATAAGAATAAAAAGAAATAATCATGTTGACCTTTATTCAAACACAATTTATTCACAACCCAAGTGTCTATAATTGTCTCATGTGTAGCATCCAGCAGGCACCTCCCCAGCACTAGAAAAACAAAGAGTTGTTAGGGAGCAGAATATCCAGCTAAACAAATAGGTAAAAGTTAAACCAACCAAAGTTCAAGCAATAACTTTAGTTTTTATTTATAATCTATATTTAGAACTGTTCATATAACTCTTTATTACTGTTTTGGGAACAGTTTTATATTTACGGAAAATCTGAGAAAACAGTAGTTTTCCTCTACACCCCAAATTCTGTTTCCTCCTTTAGCAGCTTACACTGCTGTTCTATTTTTGTTATAATTAATAAGCCAACATTGACACAGTATTGCAAATTAAAGCCCATAGTTTATTCAGATTTCCTTAGTTTTTCCTTGTCTTTCCCCAGGTCTCTCCTCCAAACACCACGTCACATGTAGTTGTCATGGCTCCTTAGCCTCCTCCCCGCCATGATAGTTTCTCAGAATTTTCTTGTTTTTGATGACCTTTTAGCTTTTAAATAGTAGTACATAAAAATATATTCTGTGAGGGGAATTATGGATGTTTTGACAGAAAGCAATTTTAAAAACAAAAACAAGACCACAAAAGGAGTTACACCCCAGTTGGCCAATTGTTATTCTAAACATTTTGGCAAATGTTAAATAATCACATCTTAGACATCATGCCAAAGACGTGCACTGGCATTATTAAAAATAAAATTGCCCTGAGTTATGGACATCAGGACGTAGCAGCTTTGCCCACATAGGATGGGTTTTAAGGAGGGTGTTGTCTGGGGTGAGGTTTGGTAGATCTATACACAAGGCAAGGTTGAGGAAAGGCTTCTACACATGCATTATTAACCTGTAAGTGTGTTATTATTAACCTGTAAAATAAAG